TTAAATTTTAACTTAATCAGGCTCTTGAATTCCAGAAATAATAAATGACTCCAGTTCCTTAGTTAAACATACTTGTTATTGCAATCACTGAATGCCATACCATGTTCAATTGTTTATTTCTCTGGTAAAAAATAGTGTGTGTGTGTGTGCAGAGCAAGCCTTTATTTGCAGACAGACATTTTGCTTTAAGTAGAACTCTACTAAGAGTGAAAGTGACTGTAAATAAATGTTTACTCAGTGCATAGTATCTTTACTTTATTTGTGTACAAGCTTGCCATCCAACATATTTATTTCTCATCCAAACTAGCATATCTTGGTCATTTCTTGCAATACTACACACATTACTGCAGATAAAATGTACAACAGGCAGAGTCACTTTTGTAAAATGAAATTAATATTACTTGACCTGAAACCAAAAGTACAGTAATATTGAGAAAATTTTTACAATATTTAAATTAGAAGGCAGATGTACTATTTGAAGTATTCCCTTTGTGTAAATAGATTGTTTGATAAACTTTATCTGTTAAGCTGATTTTCTATGTCAATAAACAGTACAAGAGAACTAGTTTTATCTTTGTGTTTACATTATTTACAACTAAGACTAATAGTGCAGGACTGATATGCCTTTACAGGGTCAGTTATGTTTTCGAGCTTTCTCAAAAATAGTTTTAAGAGTGAAATTCTTAAAACCTTGTCCAGAGGTCTATGTTCATTTCCTCCTCAACCAGACTTGTAGCCCGTGACCTGCAAACTTTCCTCTGGATGAGACCCATTGGTGAGCACCAAGCTTGAATGAGTGGATAAGGGTTAAAATATGAAGTTCATTCCTGACCCTGTCAAGACAATTGGTTGGATATATTTGGCTGGGGTCATTCATTCGTGCAAGGGAGGTTTCTTGATGCCAGTGAGGGACCCTTGATCTAAGGAATTGTACTTGTGCTTTTCCCCCTTGGATTGAACCTGAATGCCTCCCATTGCTCCTAGGTGCTGTATGACCTCTATGGGTTTAGCACTCCCTTATTAGTGTAATAGTAATTGGCCATGTATGCATTGGACCCTCTAGCTGGGAGATTAGTGTTATCATGTTATGTAGGATCACACTGGCTGGGATTTTCCCTCGCTAGAGTACCCACAGCCTGCTAATTTTTATTGATCATTGATACTGTGTGTGGAAACCTATATTTTTGTTAGTGGGTTTGGGTTTGAGAAGAACTTGCCTAGTATGGGCCAAGAGGCCTACTGCAGTATTCATTCTTATGTTCTTATGAGCTCCAGGGGTCAACACTTCTGCAGTGAATGATGGCTGATCAACCAGGCTGTTACTGCTAGCCACATGCAATCTAACACATGAACCACAGCCTGGGTGGTTAGGCACTGACTTTAGGTATCTGTCCGGTTCCCACCTGAAGGTGGGTAGAGGTCTAATGGTAATCCCACGGCTCTGTATGACCCTTGTAGGTTTAGCACTTCTTTTTTTTATTACAATAATAATAATACTGGTAATCCCCATTTATGTATGCTGGGAGGCTGTTGAAAAGCCTTGGGCTTTCTCTCCGTGCTTTTCACGGGGGGGGGGGGGGGGGTTACACCATCTGCTGAGTCTTGCTTTCATAGGAAGTGATTTCTGTGTGCAGATTTAAGACCAGTCCCTGTAGGATTTTCAAGGTGTAACTTATGATGTACCTTTCTCATCTGCACTCACGAGTACAGATATAGGGCTTTCAAATGTTCCCAGTAATTGAGGTGGTGTATGGAACATGTATGTGTAGTGAAGGTCTTCTGTACATTCTCCAGATATGCAGCTTCACCTTCCTTGAATGGGGCTATTAGTGTACATCAGTATTCCAGCCTAGATAGAACAAGTGACTAGAAAGAGGATCATTAATGGCTTGGCATCCCATGTTTTGAAGGTTACCATAATCCATCCTATCATTTTCCTCACAGTTGTGATAACACTGTTGTAGTCCTTGAAGATGAGATCCTCTAACATTATCACTCATAAGTTCACATTAGTTTTTCACTCTTGTGTAGTTAGAATTTGTCTTATATTCTGTTCTAGTTTTGAATTTTTCACTCAAGTTTTCTGTAATGGAGTAGCTGGAATTTCTCCTCATTAAACATCAGATTGTTTTGTGAGGCCCATTGGAAGACTTGGCTTATATCCCTGTTTCATTATTATTATTATTATTATCAAAGGGGAAGCGCTAAACCCGGAGGATTATACAGCGCCTGGGGGGGGGGGGGATGTGGAAGGCATTCAGGCTTAATTTGGGGAACTGGAGCACAGATCCAATTCCCTAAATCAAGAGCCCCTCACCAACATCAAGGAACCTTCCTTGAGGGGATCCCTGTTTCATGCTTTAGATGCATTCCATGCCTATGACAGCTGTACTAAGCTCACTCAGGCTATAAATTTAATTTCATGTAAGAATCTTCAGTACAATTTATGAACTATACTGATCACATATGGAGATGTATATCACATGTAGGATTGCTGATA